CCCAGCCCCAGCCCCAGCCCCAGGGGAAGGGAGTGGGAGGAGGAGTCCCCTCGTTTCTTGTGTTTTGGGGTGCGGAATAGGGGGGTGGGGGTAACCCATGGGGCCCGGGAAACCCTGTTTAAAGATTATGTGCAGGGGGGGGGTGGGGGGGGCGGGGGGGGGCCGTTTTATTTTGTGTGTGTGTGTTTTGTAATGGTCCCGGGGGTAGGTTGGTGAAGCGGGTTGGGGTTGGGGTTGGCCCAGGGGCTGTTGAAGGGATTCCTTAGCAGGCATGCGGATGGTTCCCGCGCGCCCCCCCCCCCCTTGCCCGCCCTTCAGGGCACCGACTCTGAGATGCGGCGGCCGCGGGCCAAGGGCGGCACCGGCCTGGGCCTCAGCATCTGCTGCAAGCAGGTGGCCGTGCTGGGTGGCGCCATCGGCGCCCTCTCCAAGCCCGCCTGCGGCTCCGTCTTTTGGTTCACCATGCCGCTCGTGCTGCCCGCCCACGACAGCGCCAGCAGCACAGAGAGCCAGGAGGAGAGCGAGGAGGAGGCGAGCGGCGGCGCGGAGGAGGCGGCAGCGGCAGCCGCGGCGGCTGCCGCGGCGGCGGCTGCAGCGCCGACGCCGGCGCAGGCTGCGGGGCGGGCCGCCGTGCGGCGGTCGATGGATGCCACCCACGCCGCGGTGGAGGCCGCCGCCGCGGCGGCGTGCGAGGCCGGCAGCGAGCAGCTGCCCCGCGGCATCCCCTCCTCCCCGCACCGCCTGCACGGCCTGGGCGCCGGCCGGCAGCCGTCGACCGAGAGCGGCAGCGCGGCGCGCGGCGGCGGCGCCAGCCGCCGCCACTCCATGGAAAGCAGCCTGAGCAGCATGTGGCCGCCACACCCCAAGCCGCTGCGCGTGCGCTCCGGCAGCAGCCTGGCGGAGATGGGGGAGCAGGAGGAGGCGTGGGTGGGCATCGGCGGCGGCGGCGGCGGCCAGTACAACCCGCGCCACGCGCTGAGCTGGGAGCAGGCGCCGCAGCCGCCGTCCTTCACGGCTGCGGAGATGCTGCAGGCGATGCCGCTGCAGCAGCAGGCGGCGGCGCCGCCGCCGCGGCCCGCGCCGCGGCTGCCGCGCCGCGCCGCGGCCCACCCCTCCGCAGCTGCCGCCGTGCCGCAGCTGGGCGGCGCGCGGCACCAGCTGCCGGCGGTCGGCGCGGTCGGCGGCGGCGGCAGCGGCGCCACGTCAGCGGCGGCGCCCGGCCAGCCTGGCGCCTCGGCCCGCTCGCTGCAGGGCCTGCGCGTGCTGCTGGCTGAGGACAACCTCATCAACCAGACAGTGGCCAAGCGCGTGCTCACCAGCCTGGGCTGTGAGTGCCGCGTGGCCAGCAACGGGCGGGAGGCGGTGATGGTGAGCGCGCCGCCCGCCACCGCCTGCCCTCGACCGCTCGGCGCCGGCGCAGCGCCGCGCGAGCCATGTGCCCCCCGCCGGCCAGCCGCGCCATGCAGCGCACGCGTCGCGTTGCGCGGCGCCCTGCCTGCCGCGGACGCGCCTGCCCCTGCCTCTGCCCCTGGCCTGCCAGCCCGCCGACCGCCGCCGCCCGCGTGCCTGGCGCAGGCTGTGGAGGAGGCTGCGGCGGGCGGGCGCCAGTTTGACATCATCCTCATGGATATGTGCATGCCGGTGCTGGGCGGGGTGGAGGCCACGCAGGTGGGTGCCCCCTCAGCACAGCGGCGCGGGGCGCAGGGCGCGGTTGGGCGTGCGGTGGGGCGGGGCGCGCGGCGGGGCGCCTTAGCCAGCGCCAGCAGCCCTGGGGCAGGGCCGGGCGCTGCCCGGCCTGTGCGGCGGCGGCACGGCGCGCCAGAGCCCTGCCCGGCGCCGAACCTCGGGGCCTCAGGCAGCCAGGCCAGTCCCCGCACCTGCCCTGCCCCGCCCTGCTCACCGCCTGCCCGCCCGCCTGTGCCCTGCCCCTCCCCGCCTGCTGTTGTGCCCCGCAGGAGATCCGCCAGCTGGGCAGCTGCGTGCCCATTGTGGCCATGACCGCCAACGCCTCGGAGCGCGACCGTGTGGAGTGCATCGCTGCCGGCATGGACGGATTCCTCAGGTGGGGGCAGACAGGGTGGCGCTGGGCGGGGCGGCAGGCCGGCCTGGGCCGTGCCTGGCCCTGGGGCCTGTTGGGGGCACCGCCGACGGCTGCGTGGCGCAGCGCCTGGCGGCCCGGGCTGGCTGGCAGGCGGCGGCAGAGGCCTGCCGCGTGCCCCCTGCCTCGGCCCCACCATACCGCACGCTCACGGCCCGCCGCTGCTTGCCCCCCCTTCTGCAGCAAGCCCGTGCTCAAGGAGCAGCTGACTGTGGCGATCCGGGAGGCCATCCAGGTGGGTGGCAGGCGCGCCTGAGCGCCGCCGCCACCCCCGCCAGCAACCTTTTCCTCTCCTCTTCCGCTTCTGCTTCCGCACGGACAGTGCCCAGCACCTGTTTTCACGCATCTCCCCCTGATCCAGCCATCCCCTTGCCACCCCATTTCATTGGCACTGTGCCGCGCACGTGTGCCGGCCACCCGGCTCAGGCAGCGCACGCCCCCCCCCCCACCACAACGAGCTCGATCCGCATCCCCTTTTAGCAATGTTGAATGCAATGAATGGCGCCCAGCAGCCCTCTACTTGTTTGCTCGTTTGTTTCTTTGATTGCTTGTTTGATTGCCAGCCATTTACCGTACCTGCGAGTCGGGGGCAGCACCAGCCGGCCTGCTGCCGCCCCTGCTGCGCCCGTCCTGCCGGGCTGGGTGGGCTAAGCGCCTCCCCAACAGGCGCCCCACCACCGCCCTGCCTGTGTACCTGGCCCCAGGCAGCCTGGCCTAGCTCCAAGTTGCCATCAGCGCCTGCACCTGCTTTGCCCCCAGGCACCCTTCAACAATCTCGAAACCCTTTGAATCCTTTTGTCTGTGTGCCTGCCAACAATCATCCTATTCATCTATTCTGCAGCAATTGTGTGGGGGCCCGCACCTGGCCTCCTGCCTCACCGGTGTGGCAGGAGGCGGGGCGCGGGCCTCGCCCCTTGCCCTGTCCCTCCCATCTGCTCTTCTTTTCCTGCGGGCTCCTCACCGCCCTCCCCCCCCACTTTCTAGTCGCAATCGGCGGCGGTCAGGCTGCGCTGCCCCGCCTTGCGCACCCAACAACCCCTCATCATCTATTTAATTTGATCGCTGCAAACCCAGCCGCCGCGGGGGATGGTCGCCCCTCGCAGTTTTGACTCATTTTATTCGCAGCGCCCCTCATCTGCCTCATTGGTGCTTCGGATCGCTCCGCTAGAGAAGAGCACACGCTGTAAACGAATGCTTTCCTACACACCGCTCCCACGCTCTCAACTCTTGCTTCAGCAGCAAAACAAGCACACAAGGGCGGCAGGCCAGGCGGCCTGGCTCACAGCCCCGGGGGGCGGGTCGCGGCCTGCTGCGCCTGCTGCGCCGCCGCGGCGGCCGGTGCCGGCGCCATTGCGCGCCGCACCCTGCACGCGTGGATGGCCTGGTCGGCTGCCGCGGCGCCCGGTTGCGCCCTGAAGTCTGGACGCAGCCCCTCCCGGTCGATGTCTGTGCCGCTGGGTGTCACATACTTGCCCACCGTCAGCACCAGGCCAGACCCATCCGACAGCTCGTACACGCTCTGCGGCGGCAGGCAGGGGGCAGGGCTGGCGTGTGAGGATGAGGGGTGGCTGTGGGAAGGGAGGGCGGCCTGGCTGTGGGAAGGCAGGGGCTGGGGAGAGCAGGGGAGGGGGCCCCTGCTGCAGCAGCTGCTGCTGCTTGCAGCTGCTTGCAGCGGCGCAGCGCGGGCAGGGAGGGGCGGGCGGCGCACCTGGATGAGCCCCTTGCCGTACGTGCGCGACCCCGCCAGTACCGCGCGGCAGTTGTCCTGCAGCGCGCCCGCCAGGATCTCGCTGGCACTGGCGGTGTGGCCGTCCACCAGCACCACCAGCGGGGCTGCGTGTGTGTTTGGGGGGCACAAGAGGCGTGTGCGTGTGTGCGTGTGTGGGTGGGTGGTGTGTGTGTGCGTGTGTGTGTGTGTGTGTGTGTGTGTGTGTGTGTGTGTGTGTGTGGATCTCGCCTCAGCAGGGTGGTGCGCCTCAGCAGGGTGGTGGAGGGAGAGGGGGCAGGCCGCTGCACAACACAGGCCCATGCATCCCCTAGCCAGCCAGCCAGCCAGCCAGCCAGCACACTCGCCCCCCCATCCCACCCTTGCTCCCACCACGCAGACACACACGCGCACACACACGCACCTGCGGTGGCGGCGGGCCCGGGCGCTGTGATGGGGGCGGAGGAGGCGCGCGCCCTGCCCTCTGTGCGCACCACCAGCGCGTCGCCATCCAGGAAGAGGCGCGCCACCTCGATGCCCTCAGACACCAGGCCCCCCCGGTTGTCCCGCAGATCCAGCACCAGCCGGCCCGCGCCCGCGGCCTGCAGCCGCTGCACCGCGGCCAGCGTGTCGCGCTGCGGGGGCGGCAGGGAGGGGCGGGGAGGGGGGAGCGGCGCAGGGGGGCAGGGGCTGGGCAGGGGTGCGGGGCCGAGGGGCCGGTCGAGCACTGCGGGAGCCACCACCACCGCTGGGGCCCTCCGCTGGGGCCCTCCTCCCGGCTGACTGGGGCCCACCCCACCAGCGCAACGGCCTCCCTCCCTTGCCTCGCCACACACGCATCACCCTCCCCACCTACCCACCTGCGCCCGAGCGTTGAAGTTTGCCAGCTTGATGACGCCCACACGCTCGCCACCCGCCCCCCCCTCCAGCCGCTCGCTGACGGGCGACTGCAGCACGCGCACCGGCCGCTGCAGCGTCAGCCGCTGCTCGCTGCCGTCAAACTTGCGCACCTGCGGGCGGGGCGGCGTAGTTGAGTGTGTGTGTGTGCAAGTGTGGGAGGGAGGCGTGGGCAGGAGGTGGGCGGATGTGTGGCGGCGGCAGCGGGTGCTCGCCTGCTGCCCCACAGCGCAATGCAACGCGCCACAGCGGCGGTCAGCCTGGGTGCCCCCGCCCCCAGCCCGCTTGCCTTGAGCTGCACCGGCGCCCCCTCCAGGCCCAGCCCCCGCCCCGCCTCCTCCCCCTCCTGCCCCTGCAGCAGGCTTGCCACCGCAAAGGGCGACTGCCCGCCCAGCGCCGCGCCATCCAGCTCCAGCAGCTGGTCTCCCTGCTGCAGCCCTGCCGCGTCGGCCGCCGAGCCGCGGATCAGGCCCAGCACCCACACGCCCTCCGCCGCCGCCTGGCTGGAGCTGGGCCGCCCCTCGGGCAGCGCAAGGCCCTGCAGGGGCGGCAGGCCAGGGGGGCCACAGCACAGCACAGCACACACGCCCTCACGCCAGGAAGGGGCGGCGGGCCGGGAGCCGCGGCGCGCCAGGCGGCGGCGTGCCCGCACCCCACCCTCTCCCGTTGGCCCCTCCACACCTCTCCTCACCACACCCACCCACACCCACACATGGCACCACACCCGCCCACCCACCCACCCACCGTCTTGTTGGCAAACTCCTCTGCCGTGCCCAGGTTGAGGCCCACCCCAGACACATCGTACTTGCGCATGGCCGCAAAGTCGGCGGCAGGCACAAAGCGGGTGTAGGGGTCGCGCAGCTGCGCCAGAAGCTCCCGGATCGCGCTGCGGCCAGAGGGGGCCAGGGGAGGCGGTGGCGGCGGCACGTGGGGGAGGGGGGCGCGGCGCCACGGGGCGGCGCGCCGGCGGGGGCTGGGGGGAGCCGCGGCGCGAGGCGAAACACAACCTGGCCTGCCAGCGGCATTGAGCAGCCCGTGCAGCAGCGGGTGGCGGCGGCCGCGGCTGGCGGGGCCCCTCTCCCACGCACTTGTGTGCTGCTGCGCGGTCGCGCAGCGGGCGCGCCAGCATGCGTTCCTTGAGCTCCAGCCACGCCGCGCGGCTGTACCCCGCGTTGCGAGCATCCGCAAAGTTGGCCTCCACCACCTCGCACACCTCCTCCACCAGATCCCGCCCTGCAGCCGCATCGGGGCCCTCCGCGGCGCCCTGCAGGGCAGGGCAAGCGGGGAGGGGTGAGGCGGGCTGGGGCCACCAGGATGGGTGCCAGCGGATGGATGGCAGGAAGGGCGTGGGAGGGCAAAGGGGCGGGGTTCGTGTTTGCCAGCACCCGTCACCCGCACCTGGCTGGCCACATCTTTGACAGCCTCCACCGCGCTGTCCACCTTGACCTCCACCTGCCGCACAAACTCCAGCAGGCGGTCCTCGGCCACAGAGGCCTGCGCCACGCTGCCGCCGCCGCCAGCGCCGCCGTCGCCCAGGTGGAGGAGCAGCGCCGCCAGCAGAGCTGCCGCACCCCGCAATGCGGCCTGCACAGCTGTCAGAGGGGCAGGCTGCGACGGTAGCTGCTGCTGCTGCTGCTGCCAAGCGCCCTGAGGAGGCAGGGCGGCACGGACTGCCAGCTGCCGCACATGCCGCCGCAGGTGTCGGGCTGCAGCTTGCAATGGGCAGCGGGATGTGCAGCGGCTGCCGCGCCCCGGCGCTCGGAGCAGGGCCGGCAATAGGCCGGCGGGCTGCTCCATCATTGCTCGTGATTGCGACATGCGAGCAGCATTTGGTGCTGGGTGATTGGTGATGGTCTCCTGAGAGAAACAGATGCATGTGCTATGCATGACGGGCGATGACGTGGCCGCCTCCGCGCTGATAGCGCACCAAATTTGAGTCCTCCACAAGCAAGGTAGAGGTAGTGTGGGCCTCAAGTGGGGCTGATGCGGCAGATTGTGGTATGAGCGTGGCAAGGAGGTGGTATGAGCAGGGAAAGTGGTGCTGGTGCTGGTTGCGGCACGGGGGCGCGAGGCTGGTCGCCTCCCGGGCCAATGCTCGCAGGCTGTTGCGGACGGCGCTGCCCTCTCTGTGTTACATTAATACATGTTGCCTGGGGAAATATAATCGCATCATCTATCATTGCTGCCATTCGAGCATCTTCGGGGAAAACTCAAAACTGGAGGTGGGGAAAACGGTGGCGCTCGGTAGAGCAGCCGGGGGGACGGCGCAGTTTTAGGCAAACTGACGGAGAAGGGAAGGGGGGCAATGCAGCCTCACAGTGCTTCGCAAGCAGTGAAAGTGCATCGTGTCGGGGGCCTGGAATGAATCACAAACGCAAAAGGGTGGAAAAAAAGCAGGGGGGGAGAAGGGACAGGTGCAGAAAAACACAGTTGGGGTAGGGAAGAATTGCAGTGGGGTTTGCAGGCGAGCACAGGTATCAAAGGGGCACATGGGCAGAGGCGCCTGACGGGGACGCTAGGAGAGGGTGGCCGGCAAACAGCGGAGAGGCTGGCAGAGGATGGGATGCAGTGCCGCTGGCCAACAGCCGCTGCGTATGCAGCGATTGGAAGCCTGCCGCCCGGCATGGCGGCAGGCCCACGAGCAGAGGACCAACAAGCAAGTGAGGGGAGCGGAGCGGGCGGCAAT